AGCCCTTCTTTCGTCCCTCAGACCCCAGCCCCGGACGCACACAGCCTGAGCCCGCCACGGCCAGGAAGGCCAGTGACACACATCAGTCCCCAGAGCACCCAGGTGGCCCAAGGATCATGGAGGCCATGCTATCTGCCTGCCACACAGAGTCAGGCTCTGCTCATCAGAGCAGCCTGGGATGGGCCTTTCCCAGCAGCCACAGGAAGCAAACACAGATCCACAGCTGCGGTGGGAGGTGTGAGGGCAGGAAGGTGAGGGCCGCCTCACTCAGGTCTGGGGCTCTGAACGCTAATCCTCAGCTGCCTGTCCACAAACAGAGAAGAGTATAAGGCCATGTGCGGGGGGAGGAGCAGAAGGGGAAGACGGAAGAGAAAGAAGGCTCAGCCAGGTGCAGGACCGCAGAGCAAGCATGCGGAGAGCCAAGGGTGTCTGGAGGCACACACGGCAGGGCTGCCTGGGGAGGCTGGGAGAAAAGTGTGCTTGTGTGCTGTGTCTGCCCTGTGGGCAGAGGGGCAGTGGGTGGGTGTGGGGCACAGCCCACCCATAGTCTGCAGCCAGCACACCTCCTGCCCTGCTGTCACCACAGCAGTCTGGGTCTGCTGCACCCCAGGGCTTGCACAGTGCTGGGCACACAGAGGCCCTCGATCAACAGAGGTGGGGTTGGCTGGACAAGCTGGCCGGACACAGAGAAGGTGCTTGCAAGGAGGGAGCTATGGCAAGAGGATGGAGGAGCCCTCAGGTACAGGAGTAGCAGGTGCAAAGGCCCTGTGCCACGTGAGGGCTTCTCCTGGGACTGATTGATGCTGACGCTGATGTGTGCAGAGCTGAAAGGGCAGGTGTGGGCTGCAGGTGAGGGCAGGGCCAACCCTAGAGGGGCCCCAGGTGGGGGTGTGGCTGGGGCCGGCCACAGGATGCCATCCCATCCAGCCTCACTCTCTCACCAGGGACCTGCCTGACCCCCACCCCATGCATCCCTGGAGCTGGCCCACAGGACTCTGGCCAGGCCGGAGCAGAGATGGCGGCCACGCAGGAGAGGAAGGCGGCCCTGAATTAATCTGTCACTAAAGCTTGGCCGTGGCAAGCGCAGTCATGATTTAGATGAATAATTGAAACGCTCCGATACATTTATTATCCCTTTAGTGCAAAAGTGGCAGAGAAAGACGAGGGGTAATTGAAAAAGAGCGCACAAATCTCCCCGAGAAAGCCGGCTCCTTATCGCCAAGTAAACATTTCAGTCCTAATAAACAGGAGAGACACGTAAGGGCTCTGTCGATTCCTGGTCTGATTTAGGGCCCAGCTCCCTTCTTACCATACAATGGGAGAGTATTCTTAAAATTTTTTTATTGAAGCAAATAAAAGGCTTTCTATGGGAGAGGCGGGGAGAGGAGTGGTCCCAGCAGTCATCAACCAGCTGCCCCTAGACGTAAGGCTTCCCTGTAGCAGATGCCATCTGTCCCTGGGCCTTCTCTATAGTCCTTTACCTGCTGAACTCCTATTGAGCCCTCAGAGCCCAAGTCCAATGTTCCCTTTGCTGAGAAACCTCTTACCAAACTGGGTCCTCGTGAGGGCAGAGCCAGTGCTCAGCAGAGCCCCTCAATGCAGAGAGAGGCTGGATCTGGGTGGGGGGATACACTGTGGTGACCCCACCCAGGATGAAGTCCCTTTAGCCCCAGCAGTGCTTGCAGGCTGTCTCTGAGGTTGGGGGTGCCCAGCTTTTCAGCAGTCCTCTCCCCTGAGTCTCTCTGGCTTATAACACGGTAGGCCGGCTGCACCCTGGCCCTTCGGGATGAGCCCCAGGTGCCCAGTTGCTCGCTCTTGTCAGGGTCTGGGCTGCTGGAGGCCCACAGCCCGGGCCCTCCTTGGAGAGAGGACGCTCCAGGGGTGAAGGGCAGGAAGGAGCACATCTAAGGTACCAGGGATCAGTGCTTTGGAGAAGGTGACACAGCAGGGTGAGGGGTGGGGCAGCCGCTGTCACCTCAAGAGGGCGGCCGAGGGACAGGGCTTGTCCGTACATGGGTGGGGATCGGAGGGTGGACGGGGGCAGATGGGTGAGCCCTGCTGCGGCACCTCGGGGCCCCGTGGGGATCCTGGGGTCTGGAGTTGGGGGACACTCCCGCTCCAGCCGTGTTGGGGTTGGGGACACGTGAGGGCAGGAGGCTTCTCAGCTTGTCCTCGTCCCCACCGCAGCCCCTCCCCGCCCCTCCGACTTGTTCCAATCACATTAGCAGAGTAACCGCCCCAGGGAGCTGCCGGAGGCTCCATAAATCTCGGCGGCGTTAAAAGGCTGGACTCCAGGCCCACTTCCTCCGGGTCGTGCTGCCCATCCATCTCCTCGTCAGGCAGGCCACGCGTGCGCATGGGCCTCCCCACACCTCTACAGCCACGATGGACCTGGGGGGCCCCACGATGGCCCCAGGCTCTCCAGGGTGAGGTAACCAGGCCATCTACAGGCTACTGCTTGCTCTGCCTACAACCCTGAGGGCTGGCCCTCTGCCGTTTCCCTTGTAAGGCTGCCCTCACCTTCACCTGTAGCTCACTCAGTCTCTCAATAGTCACTGGGCACCTACTGTGTGCACCAGACCCAGTTCTGGGTGATTTGCTGTGAACTAAGTTCTCTGAAAACATTTGAGAGCAGCGTGAGGGGCCAGGGGTCTGGGAGACCCTCTGAGAAGACAGCCTCAACTAAAGACTTGGGAGCACCCCAAGGATATCTGCAGGAGGAGCACTCCTGGCAGAGGGGCAGTCAATGCAAAGGCCCTGAGACACAAATGGGCCTGGCTTGTTCCTGCAACCTGCAGGTATACCTGGAGCCCAGTGGGGAGGGAGGGGAGTCTGAGGAGCTCTGACTGGGAACCTTGTGGGCCATGGTAAGGACCTTGGCCTCGGCTGTGAGTGAAGTGAGGGTTTTGAGCAGAAGACGAAGGACGAGCTGAGGACTGACAAGGCCCACATCTCCTTTCGATCCTCTAGGAATGGCTGAACCCCAGCTCTTCCCAGGATCTCTCGGGCCTCCCCTGGGGACTCTGGTCTGCTGAACCACCACAAAAGTCCACACTCTCCTTCACTTCCTGGCTTTGCTGTGCTGTTCCTCTGCCCGGGACGCCCTTCCCGGCTCCTACCCAGCTCTGGGACCCAGCTCCAGCGCAGACAGGGCTTCAGGTCACACTGCTCTGGGCCTGTGACCCCACCCCAGGTCAGCTGGTGTCATGGTGGGTGACACGGTGAGCTCGGAGGATGGGGACCAGGCCCACCCGTGCCCAGCGTGTGTCCTGACACGCAGCTCAGCGTCCAGCACACCGGAGGTGCTCGAGAGCTGGGCAATGAGCAAGCAGGCAGGAGAGGGTGCTATGGGGGTGTGGTGAGGGCCCCTCAGGAGGGGTGGGCCTGTCAGTGAGCCCACCATCCCCTCCTGGGTGGCTGTGACCTCCACGGGGACGGCTAGAAGAGATGGGGGAGGGAAAGCATCGCTAGCCACAAACAGACCCCATCCTGCATCCTGGCTGGTCACCGCCAGCTCTTAACGCTGCTCTTATTTATTCCTGACCTCCAGTGCCCCTTTTATTTTTTCCCCTTTTAAAACCTGGCCTGGTCCTGCTACCACCGCCGTAAACACAGCCCCCAGGATTTATCCGACGGCGCATTAACCCTTGCCCCCCGGCACACCAATCATCCCGCTGCTGCCTGTGTAGACAGCAGCTGCCCAGCGGGCTGGGGGCCAGGGCTGGGGCCAGAGTTGTGTGGCCAGGATGGGGAGGCTGGCGGGAGGTGCTGGGGTCACCGATGCTCCCCTCTGCGCCTCCTGATGACCTTGGCCTCACTGGCAGCTGGACCCACCTGACCACTGACTTCTTATTGGTCTGACTCTCTGGACCCCTGCCTCACCGTGGCCAGCTGACAACCGTGAACACGTGAATGTCCCTGGGGGCTCAGCAGGGGCACAGCTCCCCTGACTTTACCAGCCTCTGTCCTGGCCGCAGAGCCACCTTCGAGGCTCCAGGGCAGGGCAGAAACAGTAACTACCCTCACGGGTGGGGAAACAGACAGTGGACACAGCCTCCGGAGGCCACAGGACGTGAGGGGCAGGACTGGCTTTCTCCAACACATCCTGGCTCCCAGTGCCCTACACTTACCCAGCAGGAGCCCTGTGAGGCAGGAGAGGTGCGTGCCACCTCAGTGGTGACAGCCAGGCCGGCCATCCAGACTGCTAGCTCTGGGCCTGGCTGAGCTGATGGGGCCAGGGAGGGAGGAAAGCATAGAAAGCCAGGCGTGGTGGCACACCCGTAATCCCAGTACTCTGGGAGGCTGAAGCAGGAGGATCAAATGAGCGAGCCCCAGCCGGGGTAACTGAGTGAGGCCATGTCTCAAAATAAAGTATAGGGGTTGGGGGTTTAGCTCAGTGGTGCTGCTGCCTGCCTCTCAAGCACAAGGACCCGAGTTCGATCCCCAGTACCA